GATCAGGCGGATGCGCCGTATACAGAGCAGCACTGATGGAACTGAAGACGAAACAGAAAAAATGACCCTGACGATACTACAATGCAATGTGAACAGGAGTAGCGTAGCACACATGCTCCTCCCTCAAATTGCGACGGAGACGAACGTAGACGTGCTTGTTATAAGCGAACAATACAGGAACTGACCTGAGCAAATCGAACACGATGGCGATGTGGATACGCGGAAACGAAGCAATGCGAGTCTCGGCAAAGCGGGTGCGGGGCGGACTATGTTTGGGTGAGGGTAGGCACTGTCGTTATCTTCAGTGTACGAGGTGTGTTCAAAAAGTAACGAGAATTTTTAAATTTCGCGGGTTTGGAGAGTCCGCTTGTATAAAATTTTTTTTTATTATGTTGGTACACATGCCCCTGAAGTACGATAAAATTTTCAGCAATATTCATTGCTTACTTTTTAAGTGGCAGCCGCTAACGTTAGACGTGTTTTTCGAGCTCGGCGATTTTCGTTTGTGAAAAAAAATGGATCAAAGAATTTGTATTAAATTTTGCGTAAAAAATGAAATAAAGTGTAGTAAAGTTTGTCAAATGTTAACAAAGGCATATAGTGAGTCTGCTATGAGTAAAGCAAGGATTAATGAGTGGTATAAGCGTTTCCAAGATGGCCACGAAAACGTTGAAGATGACGAACGACCCGGACGCCCAAGCACATCAACAACTGATGAAAACGTGAAAAAAGTGAAAGAAATGGTTATGAACGATCGCCGAATCACAATCAGAGAAGTCGCTGATGATGTTGGCATATCAGTTGGCTCATGCCGTCAAATTTTTTCGAATGTTTTGGGTATGAAACGTGTGGCAGCAAAATTCGTTCCAAAATTGTTGAATTTCGAACAAAAACAGCGGCGAATGGAAGTTGCTCAGGAGTCGCTAAATGAAGTCAATAACGATGCAGAACTACTAAAACATGTTATAACAGGTGGCGAAACATGGGTTTACGGATATGATGTCGAAACTAAGGCTCAATCGTCCCAGTGGAGGCATTCTGGATCGCCAAGACCGAAAAAGGCTCGACAAGTGCGGTCGAATGTGAAGGTTATGCTCACTGTGTTCTTCGATTTTAATGGCATAGTGCATTATGAATTCTTGCCACAAGGTCAAACAATCAATAAGCAGTACTACCTACAAGTTTAACGTCGTTTGCGTGAAGCAATCCGGAAAAAAACGCCCAGATTTGTGGCAAAACAATTCATGGCTTTTGCACCACGATAATGCGCCTGCTCACACTTCATTGCTTGTTCGTGAATTTTTGGCCAAAAACGAAACTGTAACGATGCCTCAGCCTCCATATTCGCCAGATATGGCTCCATGTGACTTTTTTCTATTTCCAAAAATAAAGAGAACATTAAAAGGCCGTCGTTTTACAAGCATAGATGACATTAAAAACGAATCGCTGAAAGAGCTAAAAGCTATTACAAAGATCGAGTTTCGAAAGTGTTTCGAGGATTGGAAAAAGCGTTGGCATAAGTGTATTGTTTCCGAAGGGGACTACTTTGAAGGCGACAACATTAATGTAGATGAATAAATAAATATTTTTTTCATAAAACGAAAATTCTCGTTATTTTTTGAACACACCTCGTATACCTGTCACCGAACTATTCCGCGTTGGAGTATGCCAACAGACTCGTAGATATCGAAGACGCCGTGAGGGATATACCCGGAAATACGATCGTAGTGGGCGATTTTAACGCGCGGGCGATTGAGTGGGGTGTGCCGACGACAAACAGACGCGGACGACTGCTACTAGAGATGGCCGTGAGACTGGAATTAGTAGTGGTGAACGAGGGAAAGACGGCGACATTTAGACGACCAGGGTGGGATCAATCTATACCAGACGTGACCTTGGCCACAGACAGACTACTGACCTCAATAAAAGGATGGAAAGTTGTCGAGGAATATACAGCCAGTGATCACCAATACATTATCTTTGAAGTGACAGAGAAAAATACGACTAGATGAAGAGGTAACGTGTTACCCCCTCTACGATGGGACACGAAACACCTGGACAGAAAAGAACTCAACAGACTACTGCAAAACGCAGAGCCTTTTACGGAAACCACTCGAAGTGGTACGGACCGTGACTCAGCGGAGTAGTTAGCTGAGGAGGCGGAAAAATACCTCCGTCACCTATGCGAATCTACGATGCCGATAAAACGATACGGACGTGACCGGCGACAGATGTACTGGTGGACGCAAGATATTGCAGATATCAGATGCGAATGTCGCCGGCGACGTAGACAGACACAAAGACAAAGAAACAGACATGACGAAGAAGCTTCAGAGGCATACAAACTTGCCAGAAAAAGACTGAGACAAGCTATAATGGGCAGCAAACGACAATGCTGGAAACGACTCACAGACGAGGTGGACTCGGACCCGTGGGGGGAAGGATTACAAAATCGTGAACCGGAAACTAGGCGTCCGAGCTCCAGCGGAGACAAAAGACGCTAGGACAATGGAAAAGATAGTTGAGCGTCTTTTTTCAACACATCCTGACAGAATCGATGACCTGAACATGGACAAAGAAATGGAATGTCCTTGCTTCACAAGGGAAGAGCTCATACGAATGATAACCTCGCTGAAGATGAACAAGGCTCCTGAACCAGACGGTATACCGGGTGAACTGCTACGGTATCTAGCGACTCGGCGGCCCGATATACTCTTGCAGTTGTACAGTGAGTGCCTGACAGCGGGTGTTTTCAGTAAACTCTGGAAAAACGCGAGGTTGGTACTCATTGGCAAAGGCAAGAGAGATCCCGATAAGCCAAATTTGTATAGGCCCTTGAGCCTCCTCAACACGACCAGCAAATTATACGAACTGCTACTGAGATCAAGACTGAACGCGGCGGTGCAAGCCGCTAGCAACATATCGGACCGATAACACGGCTTCCGGAAAGGGCGCTCAACTATAGGAGCAATCACAGACGTGAGACAGGTAGTTGACAGAATGAACGAGATTTGCTATGGAACTAGACCAATAACGCTCCTATTAATATTAGACGTAAAGGACGCCTTTAACTCTGCTAGATGGGTGGATATTCTGAGAGCACTAGACGGCTTTCAGATGCCCGCCTACCTTCTAAGAGTTTTGAAGGATTACTTAAAGGACCGAAGACTGACGTATGAAACGACGGAAGGACGGAAGTACCAGAAAATTACAGCGGTGGTGGCACAAGGATCCATACTGGGTCCCGACCTCTGGAACGTACTGCACGACGGACTAATAAAGCTCGACATACCCCCGGACACGCGTCGCCTACGCTGATGACGTAGCAGCCGTAATAACGACCCGCGACACACATCTAGCTCAGCTCAAACTGAGACAGGCGATTAGGCGTTTGGACAGGTGGATGACGGTCCACGAATTGAGCCTGGCTCTTTTTAAGACAGGCTTACTGATACTGACGAGACAGAGAATAGACACGATAATACCGATGACCATAGGAATGGAACGACTGGTGACCAAAAGTGAGGTAAAGTACCTGGGGGTAACATTAGATACGAAACTAAACTTTTGGTCCCATATACAAGACGCGACCGCCAGAGCCAGCGAAAAAACCGAGACCAAGTATACGAAGACTGCTGATGGGCGTGACCCACTCCATCATGCTTTATGGAGCAGAGGTATGGGTCGACTCATTACGGGTGAGGAGATACGCAAAGACTATGACGAACGTAGAAAGAACGGGAGCGCTAAAAATCGCGTGCGCGTACCGAATGGTTTCGGAAAACGCGATATTCACGATCGCGGGCGTTATCCCGATCGACCTCTTGGCAGGCGAGAGGAAACGCATTTACGACCGACGTGCGACTGTAAGAAGGGCCGACGTTGCAACAGAGGAATGAACGAAAACGACAGAACAATGGCAGACAAGATGGACGACAGACGTTCAAGGACGATGGACCCACAGACTGATACCAGACGTTGGTCCGTGGAAGGACAGAAAACACGGGTGCTGGATTTCTATCTTACCCAGTTTCTGACCGGTAACTTCCCCAGACTATGTGTACTGTAGGGTGTCTTGGGACGACGCGGTGCACACGTTTTTCGTGTGCGACCGTTGGGTTGAGCAAAGATTGAGACTGGAGACAGAATTAGGGCCGATTACGCCAGAAAACGTGACGAACGTAATGTTGACAATAGCCGACGCATGGTGTAAGATCGGGCTGTACGTTACGAATGTGTTACGAAACAAAAAGACGGATGGATGCTTGGAAAATTGAATGAATGAGAAAACTTTAGAGCCTATTTGGAATTGATGAGTATTAAAAGGATGAATGTGTGCTTAGACACGCAATGACAGCCGCCCAGTCTGAAGTAATGTGATAAAAAGTTCCGGGCTGGTTGCGGTGCGAACAAGGAGAGATATGTTTAGTGGGTATTGGTGGCCTAAGCTACTGAGTCCCATACTTGGCGGATTTCCGTGAATTGTCCGTAAATGGATTCAGACTCTCCTCAACAAAAAAAAATCAATACGTAACGCTCTATAAACCTTCATGTTATTATTAATAATAATTTATATCTTTATTTTATTGTATTTAAAGTATTTAAAAGTATCAGAATAAATTAACTGTTGAATATTTATCTGTCAAAAAACCATATTCATTAGTTCTATTGTAAATTAATTACGTTGTATTAACATCTTGAAGCAGAACTTTTTCTTCGTTATTCAAAATGAATTTATAATCTACAATCGAAAAAAAGTTTCAGATGTATATCATATATGACATAATATATGGCCTAATAGATGATAAATTGATCAAATTTAGAAGAATAATTAGATATTTTTAATATTTATTATTTTATCACTTATTTTTTCTTTACTTCTTGCCCACAACTATGAAAATCACTAGCTCTAAATCCAGGTTTATATTAATACAGATATTACTGATAAGTATAATGAACATTACAGAAGCATTGTCTAAAGATAAAGCAGAATAACTTACTTAGCGAATGTTTTCTGTCAATAGTTTTCTTGCGTAAAATGTTGATGTCATAATTAGGTTGGTTTGTGTCCAAATTCTTTCCTGACGAATGATTCTCAACTATAAAATAATTGTGTTGCATTGTATCAATCTGTTCTAAATAAGCTCTTTCAGTTATTCCAATAAATGAATTTATCATACTATTAGAGATGTTGCAGCTCAAACAAATAGTAGTTTTGTTAGATTCATGCAACTGTTGTATTACAAAAGTCGTACGATATAAATGTCGCTGTGATGGTAAATTTATTGGGATGGCAAGAAAATAACTGCAAATAAAAATTATAGTTAAGAATTGTCACAATACATAATTATAAAATTAATATTTATGTATAACAATTGTAAACAAAGCTTCTTTTGAAATTCAAAAATAAAATCTTATATTAATTTTACTATGACAAAGGATATATTAGGCAACGTTAGTATTTTTTATCGATTCTCATCTTCATTTTCTACATTGAACAAAGTCTTAGCTACTAATCCGTTCTTTCTTCTGAACATCCCGTTTTCACATTTATTCCTACGATACATCATGGAGTATAAGAGATAGAGCTTTTGAAAAAACCAAACTTTAGTCCTAATTGTTTACATATTTATTATTCTCTTGTAACAGACATATGTACATATATATTCTACGTAGAAAGATAACCTATTGAATTTCACAAAAATATATTGATATACTAATACTGAAATTATTACTAACTACTCCTTGAAAAAGTTTTACCCTTCGCTATTTTATATTGTGAAAAAATCTTGAAAAATATAGATGTTATTATATCTCAAATTTGTGATTCGAAAATTGAAAGGTGACTAAATCGTACTTTAAAGTGATAGAAAGATTGAAAATAAGATCTCGATAAATTTATATAAATCTCGTATAGTTAGAAGTAAGATTTCTAGTTATTATTTTTGTAGATTTTTAGAGATGTTAAGAAAACTTGTTCGCAACACCTTTTAACTTCAGCGAGGCTAGAGACTCGACCTGCGTTGATTTAGACCTTGACCTCAATACTAAATTTCTTAGTTTCTAACATTCATATACTACGGGCTGTTCTTATAGTAGTATGATTTATCACCAGTCACATCAGAATCTTAGACACAAAATTCACATTATTTAATTGTCGAATGAGAAAACGCGAAGGAGTTGTTTAGCGAGAGATCAATTGAGCTTTCGACACATATATTATAACGGCATTCATAGCCAACCATGATGACAAAATCATTTTTAAATGCATCAAATACAATTTTATAATTTAAAATAGCAACATATCTTACTATTCATAATTCTATAAAGACAAATACAGAAATTATAGATCAGCTTAAAATTAAAAATAATAATGAAGAGGATACTCAAATCAAACATTTTAATACTAAAAACGTACTCATTTATAAAAAGACTAATCTAAATTATAGTTTAGAAGCAGCGTTAAAGACATTAGACTTAAGATTTTCAAGAAAGAGATTCCGATTGACCAACAATGTTTCAAATGAACTGTTGAATCCTAAACTATTCAGTTGAAATTCGTACATTCTTTATTTTTCTCTCACTTATTATTTGGTATATTTGATTATTCGAGGACTTACCTTTTAATAACTTGTCATTCTCCTATAGTATTTCCCCTTGAAAATCTGTACTGCTTAACTTTATCACATGGTGTAAAAGGAATTAATAATAATGCCACACTCGATATTTATTAATTCAAGAAAGAGATTTTATTTCAGAATCAATGATAATTAAATCCTTTCTTGAAAAATCCATCGCCTGTCGAGTGAAGGCAGTTTATTTGTGATTTGATTGGCTGAGACGTGCGCATGCACGTCATAGAATGTGGAAGTGTCCGAATTTGTATTGGTAATCCGTGGCCTGTCAAGTAAAGGCAGTTTCGTTATCGGATTGGTTGAGACGTTCGCATACACGTTATCGATCGTGAATTTGTTTGAATTTGTGTTGGTAAGGAGTGAATTAGTTGACAGTGCATTTACCTTTGTGGTTCACAACGTGGCTGCTACAGACAGCCTTCCTAATGTATTTGAATTAATTAAGAAATGGAACTTCAGACAACGATAATTAGATTGAATAACACTAGGGAAGTTAATATCAAAGTTTGAATTTACAATATATTCTTTTTCATGATATCATATATAGCAGTCGCGATGTCGCTGTCAAGCGGTGCGGAGGTGCAACCGCCTGACGCATCATCGCTACATAAGCATTTCAAGTGTCACCCAAATACAAAAGTAGGAGCAGTTGTGTGTCTAGTATGTGGAAATTTCTATCATACGAGTGAAATAGTAACAAAAATCAATGCAGGAAATGCAATTAAATTGATAAATAGTTCGTTCATAATATGCCAGGAACATCCAAATTTTGCACTAACTTCAAACTTACCATATGGTAACTTGAGTGAACAAGCAAGTGCTTTCATAGCACAGTTCAAACTTGTAAGCAGAGAGGAAATAAAACAAGAAATACTAAATGAACTCGTGCATGAGAAACAAATAATGAATGATAACGATGAACATATGGATTTAACACAAGTAAGTGAATTAGATGAAATACAACAACTAAAAGGTGAAAATAACTTATTAAAAGAACTCTACAAAGAAACAAAGGAAAAAAATGAATTACTAAATGAATTACTCATCAAAGAAAAGCAAAATAGGAATGAGTTATTAACAAAAGAAAAGAAAAATAAACCAAATAACATATTTAAAAATTCATATGCTGAAACATTGAGTTTACCAAAGCCTAAGCCAAAAAAAGTACCAAGACTTATTATCAAACGAACTAATAAAAATGATACCACTAATTTAGAAAATACCGTAGCTCATTATCTGATCAAAGATAAAACAATACAAACAAAAAAAATTAAAATAGTAAATAATGATACTATCATAATTAACTGCATGAATGAAGAGAGTATTAACAATATAGAAAAAACATTACACAAAAAAATACACACGTTTGCTAAAATTGAAAAAGAGCAAATTAGGAAACCAACTGTTAAAATTACTGGCATCAGCAAATCTTTCACTCAAAATATGCGAGACATTGAGTCAGATATAAACCAAAGAAATTTCCACAATTATGATGACAAAGGTAAAGTAATACACTCATACACTAATGAGAAATTGCAAACTATGACAGTTATAATGGAGGTATCAGCTAATTTGTACAAACACATTAGAGAGAATAAAAGCAGACTTTTTGTTGGTTGCCAAAACTGCAAAGTCTATGACATTATAAATACAAGCCCTTGTTATAACTGTGCTAGGTTTGGACATAGTGGAAGCCGATGTAAAAATGAAGCCACGTGTTACAAATGCGGCGGTAATCACACTGGTAGTCAATGTAATAATAAAACACAAACATGTCCTAATTGCACATACCACAATACTAAATACAAAACTAAATTTGATACTCAACACAGTGCAATTGACAGCCAATCTTGTGAAATTTTAAAAACAAAAATAAACAAATACATTGAAATGACAGACTATCCGATAATGCCAACGCACCAACGCTACTTCGGAAAAATAGAACGCTCGGCTGCAGAAAAACCAACAATTAACGCGCGTCCTGCTCTATCAAGCGGCGCATCATTAGCGTCATTAGCCTCCATATCCTCGCTCAACTTACATGGTAACAACAATACGAAATACAAATAAAAATGCATCCCATCGATGAAAATATTAGCAACGAAATTATTATTAATAACACTGACGAATTAAATGAGCACATAATAACAGAAAAGGAAATTATTATCTGTGTCAATATCAGAAGTTTGAATGCCAATTACACCAAACTTCTAACATGTATAAACAACCTACAAAAAAAACCAAGTGTTATAATATGTACTCAAACATGGAATTTACAACATTTCCTAGTCTTCAATATTGAAGGATACAGTATGTACTATAACAATAGTAGTATTAACAAGGCTGATGGCGTTGTGACCTACATCAGAGACGACATAATTGAATCAACAGAAATAATTCAAATACAAAATTTAAAAATTTTACAAACTACAATACAGTTAGAAAATGAAAAAACTATACTGTTAGCGGCTATATACAGATCACATGACCTACACAAACCACAATTCATACAATCAATCAAAACATACATAACTCAACACATAAAGAAAAAAAATTCAATACTAATAGGCGATTTCAACTGCGACATTTTAAGTCAAGACCCTTGGGATCAAGAATTCTTGCAAATGTTAATGGAAAAAGGACACCATCCAGGATTTAATACGATTATCAGACCTTCGCTGGACAACAACAACAGTGAAACATGCATAGATAATTTTTTTATAAAAATGGAAAATCACGCATACAAAACTTTCAACGTCAACACCCCGTTCAATGACCATTATCCTCTAATAATGGCGTTGCAGAACAAAACAAAAAGCATAAATCACTCACATAATAAAAAACAAATTAATTACCGAAAACTTCAACATATAGCTCAAACTATAAACTGGAATGAAAATAGTGAAACTAATGATACAAATAAATCTATCAATAACTTAATCATGAAAATTCAATATTGCCTTAAACAGGCAGAAAAGAAAAATGTCAAAAGCAAAACTATTAATAGCTTGAAGCCAAGAAAAAAATGGATCACCAAAGGCATAATAAACTCATGTAAAACTAAAGAAAACCTATATATTGAATGGAAAAATAATCCTCACGATACAATTAAAAAAAATAATTATAAAAATTTTATCAAAATTTTAGATAAGATAATTGCAATAGCAAAAGAAAAATACGATAAAAAAATCATAGAAATGGTGCAACATGATCCTAAGAAATTATGGTCAGTTGTCAACAACAAACTAGGGAGAAATACTCAGAATAACAAAACTATTGATTACATCACGGATAAAAATAATAGAATCACCAACCCAGAAGAAATTGCAAACAAAATGAACACACTTTTTTGTGAAATCGGAACGGAACTTAGCAATAATATAATACAACCGCGAAATGCAACGCTCATCCTTCCAAAAATAAACCCGAAAACAATATTTTTAAATTATACAAATGAACAAGAAGTAAAAAAAATAATTGACAGACTAAAAAACAAAAAAGGAGGAGTTGATGGAATTAATTCATTATTATTAAAATCATTAATCCACTACGTATCTAAACCACTTACACTTGCTATAAATAAGTGCATTATTAATGAAACTTGGCCTGATGCATTGAAAGAAGCGGATATTATACCAATCCACAAATCAAAAGAAAAACATTTAGTAAA